GCACAGAGTATTTTAAATATCCGAAACGGCTTGTGTTTGTCCACAAACACATTTCTAGTTTTTTTTTCCCTCCTTTTTCAGCCTTTTTCTCCATAGGTTTAACACACGTTTCTTCCACCAGTCCACTTTGCCACTTTTTCAAATCCGATTGATTTCATACTTGATACGTACTTAGACCACCACCCATAGATGGTCCTAGAAGAAATTCGTGACCGTGACGTCATCAGGTGTCGGGTTACGTCACCTTAAAGATGCATTTTTCCCCATATGTTTTGTACACGTTTTAAAACACTCCACTTTGGCCTCTTCGTTAATCCGATCGACCTCAGACTTGATACATACTTAAACCACCACCCACAGATGGTTCTAGAAGAAATTTGTGATCGTGACGTCATCTGGTGTTGGGTTACGTCACATTAAAGATGCATTTTTTCCAATAGGGTTTGTACACGTTATAAAACACTCCACTTTGGCACTTTTGTAAATCCGCTCGACGTCAGACTTGGTACACACTTAAACTACCACCCACAGATGGTCCTAGAAGAAATTTGTGATCGTGACGTCATCAGGTGTTGGGTTACGTCACATTAAAGATGCATTTTTCCTCATAGGGTTTGTACACGTTTTAAAACATTCTACTTTGGCACTTTCGTAAATCCGATCGACGTTAGACTTGGTACACACTTAGACTACCACCTACAGATGGTCCTAGAAAAAATTCGTGATCGTGACGTCCTCAGGTGTCAGGTTACGTCACATTAAAGATGCATTTTCCCCCATAGGTTTTGTACACGTTTTTCTTCAAATCATACTTTGGCACTCTATGTCTGATTGACTTTTCACTTGGCAGATGACATTCGAAGTGACTTCATCAAGTGTTTATCACGTGCACAGAGTATTTCAAATATCCGAAACAGCTTGTGTTTGTCCACAAACACATTTCTAGTTTTTTCTTTTTTTTCTTTTTTTTCTCCTTTTTCAGACTTTTTCTCCATCTATAGGTTTAACACACGTTTCTTCCACCAGTCCACTTTGCCACTTTTTTAAATCCGATTGATTTCAGACTTGGTACATACTTAGACCACCACCCACAGATGGTCCTAGAAGAAATTTGTGATCATGACGTCATCAGGTGTCAGGTTACATCAAATTAAAGATGCATTTTTCCCCATATGTTTTGTACATGTTTTAAAACACACCAGTTTGGCATCTTCGTAAATCCGATCGACTTTAAACTTAATTCATACTTAGACCACCACCCACAGATGGTTCTAGACGAAATTCGTGATCGTGACGTCATCAAGTGTCAGGTTACGTCACATTAAAGATGCATTTTTCCCCATATGTTTTGTACACGTTTTAAAACACTCCACTTTAGCCTCTTCGTAAATCCGATCGACCTCAGACTTGATACATACTTAAACCATCACCCACAGATGGCCCTAGAAGAAATTTGTGACTGTGACATCCTCAGGTGTCAGGTTACGTCACATTAACCCTAACCGCCCTGAATCCTCCAAAATCCTTTTTGCAAATTGGAGGAATTTGCAGGATTGAGGTTACATGGCAAAAGTGCGTTGCTGATTTCGGAGTACGCACTGTGTCAAGGTCTTGGGCCGGACCTTGTGTTGTGTATGCTCAGCCATGCATAAATTTAGTCCTTGATTATACTTGACATCCTCCGCACTGCTCCAGGATGTCACTGCCTCTGCCTCAGCCTATTGACAGTCATAGCCGGAGGATTTTGCAGGATTCAGGCAGTGGTCACCCCTCCATGGACCATATTCAAGAAACAACGGAGGAATTTGCAGGATTGAGGCTATATGCAATTTTTCCATGAGGCCAATTGGAGGATTTTGCAGGATTGAGGCTACATCCTAACAAAAAGGCCTAGGGAGTTAGGGTTAAAGATGTATTTTCCCCATAGGGTTTGTACACGTTTTAAAACACTCTACTTTGGCACTTTCGTAAATTTGATCGACTTTATACTTGGTACACACTTAGACCACTACCCATAGATGGCCCTAGAAGAAATTCGTCATCGTGGCGTCATGAGGTGTCAGGTTACATCACATTAAAGATGTATTGTTTCCCTATTGGTTTTGTACACGTTTTTCTTCAAACTGAACTTCGGAAGTACAAGTCTGATTGGGTTAAAACTTAGTATGCATATTCACATGGATGTGTTATAGATGGAAATTGAAGTGACATCATCATCAAATGTCATGTGAAGTCCCTTAAAGGGGCATTTTATTCTTTTATAGTTCTATATCTACAGAACTAACATATGTTCGATTTGGTTGTAACTTGACATGTACATATTATAATGTGCTGTTATAGATGACATTTATAGTGACGTCACTGATTGTTCATCCCGTGCTCAGAGTATTTCAAATATCCGAAAACAGCTTGTGTTTGTCCACAAACACATTTCTAGTTAATCATTATTGCTGGTTAATTTAGTGTAATTTGGGGCTTATAATAGCTTATCTAATCCCTCAGTTTGTTAGATAATTTAGTTGATACTGGGGGAAATTATTACATGAATCTTAGTCCATTTTGTGTTTTCATGTCACCTCATAAATGTAGGTTCCAATATTTATTATTGTATTAATTTGGTTTTCTTGTAGAACCACGGCCTATCACACGGCTTACACAACCTCCATTACAGTTCACGGCTCTCATTCCACGGCTTAAAGTCTTCATCAGTAAATCAACTCAGTTTTCATTAGTAAATTAACCTAATCAGCTCAGCTACTATCTTCATCATTGTAATTTGAGAACAATCAGTAATTAAAGGAGAGCAAATCAACCAATCATAGACTCGTCACCAGTCTCCTGTCCTGCACTTTCTTTCAGTACCTGTACATTCGATTTGATGAAACTCCTACGTGGCAGTGAATGCTTAACTATTAGAAACAGCTATGTGTTTGTCTACAAACACGACACATGTCTAGTTTTCATTTTTTATTTTGCCGAGGTGCATGGCTACTATGACGCATGCGCAGACCAGAAACCAGAGACTTTTTTGTTTGGCCTTAGAGGGTCATGGCAGATGTCTAAGGTCATATAATAACATTTTGCTGTTACTGCAAGAATTAACAGGTTTAAAAAAAAGCCCAGTCCCCCTTTTTATCGACATTTTAAATAATTAGGTTATCTCCCACTTATCCAAATGTATCCATACTTATTTTTACTTCTTCTGTGTGTGTATATATTGTGACAGAATAGGAATTTAGTCACCAACTGTATTCTTTAAACACATTAAAACACTGTGAGTCACTCACACTTTGCATATTGGGAATCCTTGTTTCTGATTGGTCAATTGAGTTTATGCACTGTTGTATGGCAAAGAGAAGTTGTACGCAGCCTATGTATGGAGCTCAAAGTCTATAAAAGGAGTTGCAGGGCTAGGATTTATTCAGTTGATTGCTTGATTCTCAGATGATTAGAATTATTGCTAGCATGGCAGGCCCACATGGTGCACTGTCAACTGGTCAGTCGGATTCAACATCGTAAAAATGCCAAGAAAACACCGATGGAGAAGGAACATTTTAGCAAGTATATTCACAGAACTTTATCTCTCTTGTCTGTGTATGTATTTTCTGTGTTCAAGAGTTCATTTTGAGATGGCACTACTCGTACTTGGAGTGATACGATGCAGCGTGTTTCCCCAAAATTGTCCACCGTAAAAGCAAGGTCTGTCACCCGCTGGCCACACATGCATTCACGCATGCATTACGGAGTTTTGGCCAGTTTCCCGTCTTGACCAGCATTGTGCATATGGTGCGCAAGACCTGAATTTTCCAGGGAGCTGAGATGGTATTTGGAATGTTTAATTGGCCCAATGATCAGGGGTAATAATAATACTGTAAGCGCTGTGATTTAGTTTACTAATTAGAGCGTTCTTAAATGCCAATTATTATTGTTATTTTTTAAGAATTATCGAACGTAAATATATTGACATTAATTAGGGTAGGTTTTATTCGCTTTTTGTGGCAATTTTTTGTATAGCTTTTGTAGTGCAATGCAAATAGTTCAGGCTAAAACTTCGCATATAATTGAATACCCCATTCAATCATCATAAAAAAAAATTGGCCAAAAAAAAAATTCTGACCGACTGACCGACCCTATTTCAAAAAGGCATGTAATCGGAAGCAGAAGTTTCTTCTTTTTGGCCTTATGATGGAATGACATGACAGATGATGATGATTAAAGGCTTGACCACTGTACTTGATATACTGTTTCTGTTCACCAATTACTAGTCCATCTTAGTGTAGGGTCTACTTAGGACTAAGTCAAGGGCAAATTCCCAAGGGATATAAGCTGCTCCACCCACATTCCAACCCTGCAGGCCCCGCCCACATTCCGACTCCACCGACATTTCAACTCTGCTGACATTCCAACTCAACCGACACTCGGACTCAACCGACACTCGGACTCAACCCACTTCCGACTCCACATTGTGATTCCCAATTCCCACTTCCATTCCCCTGCTCCACTGCCCTGACTATCAGTCTACAGTTGACTAGTTGATCCAGTCAACCCAGAAGAAGGGATAGCCATAATAGCCTGGTGCTGTGGCCAACAACTGCAGGGATAGGACACCAACGGGACGGCACGCTACCATTCAAACCAGCCTGACGCAGGAGAGCTGGCACGGCGCGTCACAATATAAATGCGTTATTGTTTTTATCATTTTTGTCTTAAATGTTTAATATCCACTGTTTTATTTAATATATTCGAATTTGTTTTGCTACCAGTGTTAATTGTATTTTTTGTTGTTTATTGCATGTACCACACTTTTATTTTGGCCTCAGGGCCACGATTGGTGTGAAAATAAAAAAATCAAAATCTAGCTACTGACCTGGTTAAAAACAGGAAAATCATACTCCCAACAACAAAATCTCCTTGTGTTTGCTAAAAACAAACGCAAAACTTGTAGTTGTTTGAGGTTTGCTACACTATATAAATGTATTATTTGATTTTGTTTACATGTACAGCTATGCAATTTGCTGTAGAGATGGGCTTCAAAGAGGAGAGTCTTGCCACCAATACCTCAATGTAAGTTGAAAGATTTCTTATATTAGCACTGTCAATGCGCAGTTATCATTTTCACATCAAGCAGGGTGTTCATTGGTGACTGCCGATGGCTGAATCTATACTTGCCGCCGCGGGATGTTACAAATGCCATTTCATCAATATTGCTCAAAAGAAGGTACTGGCAGTTCTAAATCGCTATACCGAATAATCACTATTATGAACATTTTCTGTGGATCCCTAGCTGTTCGTTATAGTGGTACCACTGTATTTGATACTGAAGATATTGTTGATTCTAACTGCACATACATGTAGTCTAGTAAGGATTGACGAAGACCCTGAAACTTTTGTTTAAGAGGTTGTGGAATGCTCGAAGACATTTCCGTAATTTTTCGGGTAAATGTAGCCTATATAGATGTGATTAAATATAAAAGACTATTGTTTCTATCATGAAATTAATACAAAAGGTACTTTTGAGAGCTGTTTTTCAGGTCCTGTTTAGGCTCGAATGTGCAATTTGTGTAAAAGTCGTCGTTGGGGGCAGCAAACAAATCTTAGTAATGTCGTATAATCCTCGCAGCGGATTTAGTTTAGCATTCGTTAGAACGTAGGGTTCGAGATCAAGATACAACAACTAACGGACAACGACACAGTTCTGCGATGTCTCTCTGATGGACTTTTATTCGATGAACCTAGAGTCTAACGGACTCTACAGACGGTTAATGGACGGTCCTTGACGGAATTTACAACCGGTCCATGACAGACGGTCTTCAACGGACCCCTGTATCGTGGGAGGACCTGTTTTCGCGGTGCCCTATTTCCGCGTCCTTACCTTCTGCGTTACGCGGCGCGCTGTAAACAACTCCCCGTGACGAAATAAACTTTTCTAGTTGCTGACAATCTCCTCTCCTCTCCGCTGACCAAAAAATGTGGAAAGTAAAGGCTCTACCGGTAAGTTGTACTTGTAAATATCAAAATTTGGGTTATTTAGGCCTAATTCGCAAGGTACAAAACATGTTTATATTGCTAGAGCCATAAATAATTATTGCATAATCATGGAAAGTTTCAGCTTACAAAGTTTCGAAAAAAAATTCGTAATGATCAAAATCACGTGACTGGTTTGAGTGCCGAGCATGCTTGGAAAAAAGTACGGAGGCCTATAAAAGACATGTGGCTTATATCATTTTTCTCACTGTCTAGAAAAATCGGTATTTTCCTCAAAATGAAGGAATGAATTAACATACAGCAAAGGCTTATTTTGTATAAGACGGTTATTAATGTGCATGTGAGATATTAAAAATATACATTTGTTCATGAAAAGAGCGTGTATTGTGCTTTCTTTAATAAGACTATACATTATCAGAGTAAAATGAATGATATAGGCCTACTTAAATAAATACTTAAATAATTACTCCAAACTCAACAATAATGCACAACAAAGGTTGATTTATATCTGATAAAAAGAAGATTATTAATAAAATATATTATATTAAAATATTATATTAACTAGTTTTATGAGCAACTGATTATGTGACACCAATAGCAAAATCTATATAAATGTTCTTATCCTATAGAACATGTGCACAAGCCCTCTGTTGCAATCCAGAACAACTTCTTACAGAAACTACTCACCAACAGCTTTGTCAAAAGCATTTTGTCTCGTGATTGATGAGAATGGGTCAGTTGGGGGTGCTGCGAGGAGGTACGGGGTCCCTGAGTCCACATTACGGGATCGTGTTCTGGGGAAGGTTGACCCCGAAGCAACAAGATCGGGACCAGCTCCTGTTTTCAGCCTCGAAGAGGAGAACAACTTGGTGGACCACCTGAAGAAGATGGCGCTACTGGGTTATGGATATAGCAGGGCCGAAGTTATTGATACAGCCACAATATTGACCTAATTAAGTACTAAAGATGATGTAGGATATATTTCATGTCAAAGGTCGAAGGTCAAATGAGGTTAGCTATGATTTACAGAGGTTTAGGTTTAATAAGAAATAGGCTACAATTAAAAATAAAACACGACCACTCAAGAAAACCTGAAAGTAGAAAAGCAAAGAAAAATATGTAAAATGTCATTTATTTATTTTTCATTTGAAATTTATAGCTTTAATACCATATGATATATTTTCGAAGTATAGAAGGTTGATTTTTGGAAAATATAAGATAGCTACCGACAATGGAGCCTGATGGAGACACGCCGAGTCATGACATACATTTATTCCACGTATGACTTTACCGGGACACCGTACCCCCCGCAACCCACGGAAATAGGTCATGCTCGACGCGTGGAGGCGCTTCGCGAGGACGTCGGAGATCGTTCCGTTGTGTGAAAACTGCGAAGGTCGTCCAGTTTTTATTGTTGTTTGCATATTGCCCATGAACTAAGGAAGGTAAATAGGACATCCATTGGTATCTTGCACTTGTTAATTTTTTTCAAAACAAAGAAAAAGCCCTATACCCGCGAAAACTGGTCTCTCGAGGATACATTAAGAAATAATTCAAAACATGGGTTTAAAATACTACTACAGTCATTGTACAATAGACAACAACACACAGTTCAAAGGTCATAGTACTGGTAACCAAAACACTAAAACAGTATATCAGCTGGTGCTCAATAGATGGAATGTGACAGGTTACATAACACTGTTTGGGCTAGACAGAGATTTGTCCTTGTCCTCAATTCAAGGCGTTTAAAGTACCAGGAGCAAAACATTGACTGTACCGTAAGATCAAAATAACATAGTGCATCAGCTACAGCACAACTTGGGAAACAGAATCAAATAAATACACTGCCTTGACTTGTGAATTGGAATTGAGTAAACATTGTTTCCAAAAATACAGTACTCAATATCTGGGATTTAATTGTGGATCAAGAACACAACGAATCAAGAGCTAACCTGGATAAAGTTAAAGAACAGCCTGTACAGCTACATGTACATCAACTTCAACTCCATTTGCGTAGCTGGAAGCTATATACAAAAGAATGACATAATGCTTGAACAAATGGTTCCACAATATTATCAATGATACACTAATTAAAGCTACAGTTCATCATTTGTAATTTGTGCATTTTGTTCGTTTGAAGCAACAAAAGAGTTCAAAATCTAATGAAGGATACTGAGCAACTTATCTGATGAAGTTTCCGCTAACCTTCAGCTGTACATTCCGAGAAAAACAGCATTCTAAGATCTCAATTTCAAATCCAAAGTTACTGAATCATGTTTTGAATTGTTTTGAATTGCAGCTATACGCGACGTCGCGCACTGATCCGACGAATTATAACAACCGCGCGCGCGTGTGCGTCGTTCCAATACTTGTGCGCGCTGCGCTGAATAACAAAACGAACTACTAATTTAAATTTTCCTACGGTGCTTCTTAAGAATCACCGTTGGAAATGCCTTCTTTCGTTGATTACTTCAAAATGACAGCTTCCCAGAAAGAATAATTTCACAGGGAGTTTAGTCCCCTTACTATCTTTCAACCAAGTTTGTTTTTCAACAATAATTACGCCAGTTACTTTTCGGATGGCTGCAAATGATGGACTATACCTTTAAGATACATGTTCAATTCACATGATCAATTTAAGTTGACTGCCGAACCTATTTTTGTAAATTTCTAAGTTCTAGCATGGTTCGAGTCAATCAAAGTGCAACAATTATTCACACAATAATGGCTCAAGCTGCAGATAACTTCATGCACAGAAATGCAAACAAATGATTAAAACCATGAACCACCAAATATAACAATGAACTTCAATCAACATTACAACTACAGAACACAATTAGCTCTCAATTAGAAACTTAGTCTCGAAATCACAACTCACAATAACAAAGGACAAGAACTCACCCCTCTATGGCTACGACATTGGCTTGGCTTCAGTGGCCTGCTGGATGTGGGTGCAGACTGGTCTTTTGGCCCTGATGCGGGACCTTAAATACCCACTTTAGTTGGGTGATGGACACTTCCATCCATTTGCCGATTGGCTACATATTAAATTGACTACTCCTTCCTTGTGAAATAATTTGAATATAAACTTTTTGATTGGCTAGTTTTTCAGGGAGTCCTGGGTGAATCTGCTGATCAGCAATATTTCTTCCAGGTCCCAACAACCTCCAAACCCTAATTGATTTGTCTCCACAGCTAGTGAAAGTGACATTCTTGCTACCAAAAATAGCTAGACATGGGCATGGGAAAATCTCTCTAAAGCAAAGGGTTTGGTTAGACCGAAGAATGAGACAGTGGTCTGGCAGGAGGCCATACCAATTACCAGCCCATTTTGGTGGTGAAAGGCTTCATGTATCCTTGAGGATAGAAAACAACATAAAGAAGCCAAACACATGTAACATGTATAACACATATTTTCATTTCCCGACAGTAAAATTGTAACGTAATAAACAGGACTCCCGATGCAGCATAGTTCATAGATCACTCCGGGCAACAAGAGGATGTTTGTTTACAATACACTGATCGACATGGGCAGCCACATGCTCCATGAACCATACTTGGCAACAGCTTTTACCCCAGACAATTCTAAATGACAAGTTCAGAATTTAAAATGGAGATATTTCCATTGATGTTTTGGTAGTTTCTATTGATAAGTCAAGTGTTTTGATAGTTACACAGTGTTTTGATAGTTTGATTTATAGTTTGTTGATGGTTGTTTTGTGATTGCTCTAACGGCCCAACCAAAGTAAGAAATGTCTTTCCACATCAACATCATTCACGCAAGCTAGCACCCTGAACAATGTAAAGCTGAGAATTCACAAGCGCACTTTTACGGGTAGCGAACGCATCAGACAAGGCTATGCCAAGGCAAACCTAATTGTGTCGGTGGCCAGCTTTAATCACACCACAGTTTTATGCCCCGCGGCGAAGCCGAAGGGGCATACTGTTTCCACCTTGTCCTTCCGTGGGTGTGTGTGTGGGTGGGTGTGTGTGTCCGGATAAATCTCGTCAGCGCGATAACTCGATAAATACTTAAAATATGAACTTCAAATGTGACCGGCTCTGCAAAAATGGCCCTT